TAAAAAAGAAACAATGCTCAGCATAAAAAGACACTTGCGCAGCCTGGAAGAAGATCCCTGCATACCACTCAACTGGTGAAGGGTTAGTATCCAAGATATGTAAAGCATAAGTAGAGCTTTACAAGAAAATAAGAGCCAGTGTTACCAAAACATGGAGAAAGAGATGAACAGAAAACTGTATCAAGTAAGACATACAGATGGTCAAATGACATGAAAATATTTTCTGCATCACTTATCATCAGGAAATGCAAATCAAAACAGTGATCACACCAGCGACTTTGGCACACATCACAATGATCAGAAACAACTAGTTTTGGTATGAATGTGGGAAAATGGAATCTTCATACACTGCTTTTAGGAATGCCAACTTGGGGGCCGGAGTGATAGTCCAGTGGAGAGAACATTTGCGGGTGACCGGGGTTCAATCCCTGGCATTCCATATGGTTTCCTGAGCACTTCCAGGAGTAATTTCTGAGTGCAGAAACAGAAGTAACCCTGAGCCTTGGTGTGACCCAAAAAGCCTTCCCCACCCAAAAAAGGGGGGGATGCCAACTGAACCAGCTCTTTGGAAAACGATATGGATACTTCTGAAAAAACTAGGAATTGGACTTCCAAATGCATCTATCCCCAGGTCCAGACACCCCACACTGTTCATTTGGACTACTATGTTTATTCACAGTAGCCAAAAATTGGAAGTGTTCAAGAACAGATGACCAGATAAAGAAGCTATGGCATATACACAGTGGAAAACTACTTGACTGTAAGATTCAGTCAACCAAATTTGCTGCTACTTGAGTGGATCTGGAGAGTGTAATATGCTCAGTGAAATTAGGAGAGGCACAGATACAGAATGATCTCTTCACATAGTAAATGACTGACAAATGCCCAAAGGCAAAGAAACTGGAGCTAGTCATCAGTAGGAAACTTACTGAAAAGAAAGAGAAGGGGTTTAGAATAGAATGAGGGTGGGGGAGACATTGGGACCCCCATGGAGGGAAGTGGACATTCAGCTAAAGGGAGTGTGGTGTTGGAATGGTTTATGCATAAAATGCTACCTTATTGGAAACCACAGTGCCTAAAATGAAATGAAAAAGAGCTAATTTTGTAGCTATATAGTTTAAACTATCTCTATCACATTGTGTAATGTGATGAGAATGGTATACTTAGTAACTAAATGTTTTACTATTTTCAAATTATACATATTGAAAATCTTGAGAAAATCGTGATATTTGCAGTTCGGTTTTAATACTAGCATGTTTTTGTACAGTACTATTCTTAGTCATTAACACTGATTTTTTTAATCTTCCAATATAAAGAACATTTTTCAGAATATGAGAACTGATGTTAATATAAAATAAGTTTTTGGGTAAAGCTTAGATTTTTGTTTAGATCTTAGACTATATCTTTCTGAAGATATATATGGTTGTTAAAGAATAATTCCTTTCTAGGTTTGTGGTAATAGTTTGATATTTCAGAAAGCTTTAAATTAACTATCATTACAATTGCCTTGTGAAGTATTTTTCTATCTATATGTATTCTATGTTTTGACCTTATTTTATTTATATACCCTAATTTTAATATTTTATCCTTTTATTTCAATCCCTATATTTTAGATGAATATAATTTTTCGCAGCTACTTGATTAAAAAGGTTCATTTGCATGAAATTGTACAACAAAAAGTTGTATTCTTTGTTGTATATTTTGGGGCCACATTTATCTGTGTTCAGGGTTACTCTTGATTCTGTGCTCAGGTATCACTCGTAGTGGTACTTGGGGCACCATCTGAGGTGCAGGGATTATGCCCCAGTCAGTCGTAATACAAGCAGCTTATGCTTTTATTGTTTATTTCTTGATGAGCTGTTCTAGTAGACTAAGAGAGAGGAACATTTTGATTAGAAAAAGAAATGCTGTGTATAATTTTGGAACCAATGGAGCAGTTTGTGACTGCCTTTCCATTTGGATAATGAGAAGGGAGGGTCTAGTGAAGAGGAATTAGAAATGAGATTTTCTGGGGGGAGAAAAGAGGGGGAGGAGGAGGAATAATGGCCCACTCTAGTTCCTGTTCCTCCTCTTACTCCTCCTTCCCTTTCCCTCTCCATGTTTTCCTTCCCCGCCTTCCTCCTCTTTCCTCCTCCTACCTTCTACATCCAGCAGTGCTCAGGGCTTATTCATGGCTCAGGATCACTCTTGATGGTTCTCAGAGGACCATATCTGTGTTGGCTGGCCACGTGGAAGGCAACTACCCTGTCAACAGTACTTACTATCTTTCCAGTTCCCTTATACTAGGCTTAAACTTTTACCATTTGTGAACCCTTTTCACCTGAGAAATTTTTACATGGCCTTGTTTATGTAGCTAAACATTTGCTGATAATCATAAATTTATTTAAGAATTTCAAGATTATGTGAACCCACCCCTACCCCCACGTTCATTCATTACATGACCCCACAGTGGGTTATAATCTACTGTTTTGAATTTAGGTCTAGACTATTTGAAAAGCTGCTTAAGGAGCAAGCAAAAAGTAGTTTCCATTATTACTTAATAATCAAGGCTATACTTCACTTTGCCCTATTTTGGAATAATTTTGCTGAATTTATGTCAAACAAAGCACTGTCTGTAGCACTGTCCTCCCGTTGTTCCTTGATTTGCTTGAGCTGGCACCAGTAACATCTCCATTGTGAGACTTGTTGTTACTGTTTTTGGCATATCGAATACGCCATGGGGAGCTTGCCAGGCTGTGCTGTGTGGGCGGGATACTCTCAGTAGCTTGCTGGGCTCTCCGAGAGGGCCGGAGGAATCGAACCCGGGTCGGCTGTGTGCAAGGCAAACGCCCTACCCGCTGTGCTATCCGCTCCAGCCCAAATTGAAGTTCAGAATTTAACTTTACACAGTACTTTATGAGCACTTTCCATAATATCAGGGTATTAGAATTTTAAATCTTAATTAAAATTAGAAAATAATGGACCTAAATGATAAAAACAGCTATAATTTAAAACTTTCAACTAAAACATTAATGCCCAAACCAATGGGTGACATGGAAGTAAAGATTAGGTAGCACATTTATTTTGAGCATTTTTCCCCATGAAGTGTAACTTGATTTTATGGATTAGATTTTCATTAGTGGAATGTTTTATTTGTTTCTTTTTTTTTTCTTTGTTCTTTGGGCTAACTCCTGGCTCTGTGCTCAGAGATTACTCTTGGCAGGTTTGGAATCATATGGAGCACTAGGGATTGAACTGAGGTTGGTGGTGTGCACAGCAAACACCTTATCTGGTGTTCTGCCCAGCCCTTGATTTGTTTTTTTTTAACCAAGGCATATCTGGTTGTTGTGTATGTTGAAACAAAATAGTTTTTATTGAAAGTATTTTAGAAAAAGACTTTATTGAAAGACTTTTAGAAATTTAAAGAAATTTAGGACGAAGTTGGGGGGAGAGGGAATGTGTGGGGGAGAGAGATTCTCAAAGTGGAAAAAGCCAAGAAGTATCTTTTTGTGGATGAGTATTATAATTATTAGAACCTACACAGAATACTTTTGGTAGACATTCTGAGCTTTTTCTAAGCTTTCCCCTCCCTCGCTCTTTTTCTTTCTCTCATTTTGGGGCCACACCTGGCAATGCTCAGAGTGTACTCTTGGCTCCGTGCTCAGGAGTTACTTCTGATGGGGCTCAGGAGACCATTTGAGATGTCAACGATTGAACTCAGGTCAGCCGCATGTGAGGCAAGCACCCTACTTGCTGTACTGTCACTCTGGCCCCTTTCTAAGCTTTTCTTATAAAATTCATTTTTGTTATGGTATAATAACTACAGCAGACAGAGCCTTCAAGACTGGTCTCTTAGAGGGCCACACCCAGTGGTGCTCAGTAAAGACTCCTGGCAATGCTCAGGGGCAATATATGTAGTGCTGGGGATTGAATCCTGGTGGGCCGAATGCAAGGCATACTGTCTCTCTGGCCCCAAGGTTGGTTTCTTCATTAAACATCTGATTCTGAAGATATTTTAATTCTCTTATAATTAAAAGTACCTATTTCACATTCATTAGAGTTGAGTCTAAATCTAGTCTGCATTTGATGCCATAAAAGTTGAATATTACTATTTCTTAATGCCATTTTATTTTAGCTCATTCCATAGGAATAAGATATTTCGATTAATACATCTGTGTCTGTTGTATCAATTTTAAGACCTTTGTGCAGTACTTGCTCACTCAATAAGGATCAGAAAGTTAACTAAGAATTTAACTAGGTTTCTTGTTGATTAGTATTCTTTACCAGTGTCTTTCCAGATTGAATACGTGGTTGTTTTAGACTTACTGAGTAATAAACGGAAATGCTTTGATCTTCTTTATCTGAAGTTTTAAAGATTGTAAATTCATAGTGGTTGTGTGCATACCAAATTTTTGTGACTGTTAATGAAATTGGGTGAGGAATGCTATGGTCTGCCTGTGAAGCTAGCTCCGAGGGCTTGAGCGCATGGTTTGCTCTGTGTAATAGATTGCCCTCATTCAGCCATAGGCACCGTCTGGTTACCCAAACCCAGCTGGTAGCAAGCTTCCCTCCTTCTATAGCATCTTCCCTGTTAGGACCCTGTGCATACTGCTAGCTGTGGCCCAGAAGCAAAAATAATACAAAAAGGTTTTTTTTCCAATCAATGAGTTATTCTTCTACTAGTATTCAAATCTTGTGGTGTTTCAGTTATTTAAATAGCCGGGCAGCTTATATTTTTGTATATTAAAATGTGGATGTCATAGTAGAAAATATAAAAGTGAAACAGTTTTCATTGCATTTCTGATAATGCCAGAAATTCCTGATGACATGGTAGCTCACGTTGTTAATATATTTATTTTCCTGCATGTACATATAGTTATTTGGTGACAACCCTTTCCCCTTAGTTCTACATGTATTAAATAATCTCAAATAAAATTAAGTAATCTTCTTATTCTAATAGAGAAGAAAAAGCTGGATCACTTACCAGTAACTGGAGTTCTCCTATTGGGTAATCTCCACAGATCCACATTCTTTGAAGTTATTGTGAATGCCTCGAGGACCAAGGAACCGTTGAAATTTCCAATTACAGGAAGGTAAGCAAGTGCACTGAAGCATGTCTCTAGCATCTCCCAGACCCCTCCCCTCAGCTTTCTTACATATGCATCTGTGCTGCATGCCCCCTCAGTTCCAGTGGATGCCTATCAGGAAGATTCTCATGTTGGACAGAAGGGCAAGAGAGGTGGATCTGTGAGGGAAAAGACCCAATAGGATAACTCAAGTTATTGGTAAGTAATCTAGTTTTCCAAACTTGAGATTTTTTTATGTGCTCAAGTTTCTTCTCTTTTAAAGGAGCTCATTAATTACCAGGAAAAGAATTTGGGAGAGATTTTCTTAAGTTTATGTGGATTATGCGATTTGTTATATGGCTGATCAGTATCCAATTCTTAATATATGGAGAGTAAAATACGATTTCAGTTTTAAAGTTTATATAATATTCTAAAAACTCAATGAATATTACCGTTTTGTAAGTAGTGTAGCCAATATTTTAAAAAGGTTTATTTATTTTGCTTTTTGGGTCATACCCAGCGATGCTCAGGAATTAGTCCTGGCTCTGCACTCAGGTATTCTTCCTGGCGGTGCTTGGGGGACCCTATGAGATGCTGGGGATCGAACCTGTGTTGGCTGCGTGCAAGGCAAATGCCCTCCACTCTGTCCTATCACTCCGGCCCTATAGTGTAATCATTTTTAAATAATTTAAAGACTATCTCAATGTGGAGATTGGTAACCATTATTCAGTCTTCATTCTCTATTTTCTCAGAAAATAAATTATTTTTAAATAATTTATTCATGTTAGAATTGAACAGTTTCTTCTTAGATCTCTTTCATTTTCTGTTAGTACCAAGTTGCCATTTTAATGACATTTTTAGAGAGTTAAACAGGCTCTAGTGGTGCCATGCTCTAGCTATTTACCAAATTTACATCCTTTTGCTGAATTACATAATTCTTCCATAAGCTAGTCCCAGTTCTGTTTATCTAGCCTAATTTCTTCAATTGAATTTTTTTCCATCTTACCTGTCTAGTTGTGATATCTGCGCTTGTTTCATACCTTACCATTTTTCTTCAAGTTATGTTTTTTCCCATTCTTTCTCTAAGGATGAAGTTCATTCATCTTACATAAAATTTCTCTATTTCCTTAGTGGAAAATGTAATAACAGGAGGGTTGAAATAAATTGTAAGAGTCCACTTATTTAGAGTAGTGCTTAGTGACATGTAAATATACTTTAGTTAGCTTTTATTTGATTATTCATTTTAAACATTTCTATGGTTATAAATAAAACTACAGATTATAGGCATAGTTCTTATCTGTATGACACACTTTTGACTTCTGTTTGAATTATTATCTTTTGGATATAAAACTCTTGTTTTTGGTTGGCAGCGGGGCCCGGGGCGGGGGGGGGGGGCACGAGGGTTCTCCCAAACAGTACTTAGAAGTTTGGGTGCTAGTCTTGGTGATTGTGGGCCAGTGGGTCAGTGCTAGAACGTGGGCTTCAAGGACTTTAGCCAGTGATTCTTGGAGGCAGTGTGGTTTGGGGATGCCATTGAGTCTGATGCATACTTGCCTATCTCCCAACCACAGATAAAACTCTAGAACTTGACTGTATGCCCTTTGCCAACAGGCTGATTTTATTAATTTTTAATATAATTTTATATTAAAATTATAGTACAGTGGTAGGGCGTTCGCCTTACAAGCGGCCCACATGGCCGATCCGAGTTCGATTTCTCCGCCCCTCTCGGAGAGCCTGGCAAGCTGCCGAGAGTATTCGATATGCCAGACACAGTAACAACAAAGTCTCCAATGGAGACGTTACTGGGCCCGCTCAAGCAAATCGACGATCAACAGGAGGGCTTTACCTTTATCTTACCTTAATATAATTTTAATATAATTTTCATTTGGAGCACCATAATTTACAATATTGTTAATGGTAGGGTTTCATGCATACAATGCTAACGTCTATCTTCCATCAGAATCTTTGCTTCTCCATACCGATTCATCTTTGCTTCCCTCTACCAGATTTCATTTTTTCATTTTTTTTAAATAGTGTTTATTTACTAATGTCTATGACAGATTAAATCATACCCACTAAAAATTAATTTTTCATGTAGTTTCATCAATTTGATTATATTTTATTTGAAAAACAGATTTATTGGATTTAATTTTTATTTTTGGTTTGTAAGCCATTCCTGTCTCTGCACTTAAGAATTACTTCTGCTTGGGGAATCATTTGGGATGATGGGGATTGAATCTGGATTGACCGTGTGCAAGGCAAGCACCCTACCTGCTGTACTTTCCCTCCACCCCGTCATTTGGTTTGTTAATTATATTTGTACTTGCTATATATTTTTAAAACTTTTTAATTTAAAATCTTTCATATAAAAATAATTTACTACAGTATAAACTTATGTAAAACAAAAAAAAGTTTATACTTTTTCGGGGAGTGGTTGGGAAGGCCGCACTTCACAATCCTCAGGGCTTACTCATAGCTCTACACTCAGGGATCACTCCTGGTGGTGTTCAGATAACCATTTGGGGTGCTGGGGATTGAACCCAGGTTAAATCCATGAAAGCAAGCCCTCCTACCTACTGTACTGTCTCTCCTGCCCAAGAGTTCATAGTTTGAAAAGGTTTTTTTTAGTAGAGTTGGAGTGATAATACAGGGCTTTTGCATGTATGTTGTTGACCTTGGTTTGATCCCCAGTATGGTATATGAGCCCTGAACTTTTCCACCAGGAGTGATTCCTGAGCACAACTGGGTGTGGCGCCCCCCCCCCCCACCAAAAAAAAAAAATGCCTACAGATTAAATCCTCATAACGTTAGAAAAGTAATTGAAATGTTAGAAAAGTAATTGAAGCTTAGTATATATGTTTCTTTTAAATAATCAGTGGAGAACCATTCAGTCCAATGTTTTGGTAAGATTAGTAAAGTGTTAATTTTGAGTCTCCTCCCATATAACTATGTAAGAGATTATTAAATTTCATGATTTCTTTAGTATGATAATAGTATCATGGTTATGTCAAGAATTCCCTTTTAAGGACTTGATAGATAGTACAATGGGTAAGGAGCATGCTTTGAGTGTAAAGCTAGAAATAAGCTCTGAGCACTGCCAGATGTGGCCCAAACTGCCCTGTTTTCAAATGAATCCTTTTCCTAGAGGGCCCAGAAAAACAGCACAAGAATAGTGACACTTGTTGGATTTGGCCTATACTGGTTCAGTTTCCAGGCATTGCATGGTTCTCTAACTCCACTGAGAATAGAAAGGGGTTTAGCCTCTGAGCACCTCTGCTGTGTCCCAATCCCTAAAGTATGTCTTCTTTAAAGACATATGCTGCTGAATCATTTAAAAGGGTTGTATGGTGCTATGCTCAGGAATAGGCTTGTAAAGCGTTGGGTATCAAAACTGGTAGTGGGGTGTATGTGTGTCTGTGTGTCTGTGTGTGTGTGTCTTTATGTGTGTCTGTAGAAGAGAAGAAAAAATAAATGTAGCAGTTGTGTAGTTGTTACAATTTCAGATCTGAAGTACATAGTTAAATATGTTTCTGTGGCTTTGATTTTTTTTTTTCCAGAATCAGTTGGGGAGAAAGTATATTTAAACTTACTGTGGTTTAGTTTCTTTAATTCTAAAGTGTGATACAATAGAGTTTGTTCTTTCTGTGCCTTGATGTAGGTAGGCACAATGAGGTAACATTTGGTAGAAAAGTGAGAAAGCTTTAAAGTTTTTATTTTTAATATAATGAATAGTTTTGTAAGGGAGAAAATTGCAAAGAACTTTTTACAACATTTGTGAGCTTAAAATATTCTTGGGGCTGGAGCGATAGCGCAGCAGGTGGGGTGTTTGCCTTGCACGCGGCCAACCCAGGTTCGATTCCCAGCATCCCTTATGGTCCACTGAGCATCACCAGGAGTAACTCCTGAGTGCAGAGCCAGGAGTAACCACTGTTCATCCCCGGGTATGACCCAAAAAAGAAAAAATATATATATATATATTCTTTATTTAGAGTATATTGTCTTGAATAAGGTCAGTGAAAATTTTGTGTGTATATAATAACTACTTGAATACTGAAAATGAAAATACAGCTAAATATAAACTAATAAATGGACAAAATAGAAGATTGTAGCAGTTGATGACAAGTTAATTTCAAGATCAAAGGAAAATATGAATGAAAATATGATCGTAAAGCCAAGACATATTAGTTGGTAGATGAAAAGGCTCATTTAAGTGGAGTTCAAGAAGAGGGAATACAATGATGGAAAATAATAATGGAGAAAAAAATACCGGTAATTTTTAAGAATTGGATATATTAAAAATTACAATTGTAACTGAATCACAGCAAAGCATATTATCAAATCTTCAGGAATACAAGAAAAGTGATTTGAGTGGCTCTATTCTGTAGGTGTAGATACATGTAATTACCTTGAATAAATTAGCCAGAAATTAGACTCCTGGTTCTCTGTGCTGTATTACTTAATCTAATTTCTATATATAATTGAGCTTGCAATCTTTTTTCTAGATAATCTAATTCCTTATTTCTTCACCCTTTATTTTCTTTGATCTGAATCTTTTAGTGAAGTTAAGAAAACATTCTTAGGTAAAGTTTGTACTTCTTATTTTTTTTTTTCCCTTGTGATCTGGTACTTGTTTATTTCTTCAGTTCCCCCCCCCCCCCCTTTTGGGCCACACCCACCATGCTCAGGGGTTTACTCCTGACTCTACACTCAGGAATTAACTCCCAGTGGACTTGGGGAACGATAAGGGACACCAGGGATTGAACCTAGGAAAGCCATGTGCCAGGCAAACATCCTACCTTCTGTACTATTGCTCTGACCTGTTCTTCAGTCTTAACTCATGCACCTTAGTATATGTATATGCCATCCACCTGCTAGTATTACACTTTATTGTTTCTGGCCTTTGCATAGTAATCTCTGGATGCCATTTTCCTTCTCTGTCATTCCAGTCTGTGCTGTATTTCCCATTTCTCACTCCAGGTTTGTTTATTTTTATTTATTTATTTATGCTTAACAGCATTTTATTTCTT